CTAGATAGGCCAAAGACCTATGTGAAAAAATTAAACAGTACTGTTTTACTAAAGGAATTTAGCAACAAAAATCGCTCCTAACCACTTTCTTTTATACTCATGGATAAGTGTCTTGATCAGCAATTATCAGAGACACTTCCTCCTTCAGTAGACAAAACCAATACAGAGGCCAATACAGAGAGTGAGAGATCTTGGATCTCCCCTTCCAAAATGGATATCTTCATGATTTCCCTCCCCTTTTGTCTTAGGAAACCCTGCAGAGGAGGTGCAAATATTGTAAGAGCCAGAGGGGATGGAGGAGACTAAGGAAACAAGGCCTTCTAAACCCAAGAGTTCTGGTAAGAATATAAACTCACACACTGTGGCTTCATTCACTGGACCTTCAAGGTTCTGCTCAAATATGGTTTCCATGCTGAAAGAAATGGGTATATGCCCCCATCCATAATCCAGAAACTATTTCTAATTGATAAGTGTTTGCAAGTAAAACAATTCATTTTCTCCATGGAGAAACAAATAACTCTTAAAACCAGTGCATTTATAGTTAGCTAACAAAGTATGAACCTAAATCTAGATGAAAGACTAGATAAAACACAAAAACACGCACACATGTGTGTTGGTAATTCTTTGTGCATTTTTTACATTTAACTTTTTCTTTTTCCTCCATCCTTTAATTGACAGGTCTTTTGCTTATGCATTGTAGTTTCTATTTTTTTTTTCTAAATAGCTATATGCTTGCCAGTATGTATGTCTTTGTATCTATGGGTTTCTTGTTATTTTTCTTTGGCTTTTAGTTTTTCTGTTCATTTGTTTATTTTGTCCTATTCAGATCTGTTTGTTTTTATCCTTTCTTCTTTTCTTCTCTGTTGAAGTAATTATTTAAAAACAGCCTCTGGTCAAGTCGACTATCTAAGCTGTGGGAGCTCTGCCTAACTCAGCCACCATGTTCCATGGCCAGAGGCCACTTGTGTGCAACAGCTAGAACCTTTCCATCCAGAAATACCAGCCCTGCTATCCACGAGATGCCAGCATGGGAGATGGCTCTGCCAATCTTCCATGCTATCTCCAGAAGGCTGGGCAATGCCCAGACCATCCCACCATCCACACAAGCCCAGTAGAAAGATGAGACTGTAATTCGTAAAGATTAATCCAAAGGTTTATATATTTGGTAATGATCAGTAACAAGATACCCATAAACTCAGAAGTGTAATACAATACCCAAACAAGATATACCACCTACCTTTAACTGCTATAGACACATGAATATCCACCTCCATCTCCTCTCTCTCTCTCTCTCTCTCTCTCTCTCTCTCTCTCTCTCTCTCTTAGCCCCTCTTCTTCCTTTTCCTCTTTTCCTCCTTACTCTTCCTCTTCTTCTTCCTCTTCTAACTCCTCCCACATTAGCTCTTCCTACATTTCTCCTTATCTTTCTCTTTCTTCATTATTATTATTATTAATTATTATTATTACTCAGATGCATATTTACTTTCTGATTAGAAAGGTTGTAAAGTTGAGTGCATGAAAAGGTGGAAGGATCTGAAAATATTTGGAGAGTGCTAATCCCAATCAAAATATTTAGCTGGGAAAAAATCTATTTTCTAGTAAAAATTTGAAAAAAAAATACATAAAAAATACAAACATACAACTGCAATTTTTCTCCTTACCATTCTGGTACTCACGGGTGTTTGTTAAATCTTAGGAGTTGTAGTAAGTACTAAGTTTTGACCATGGATGCCCTAAAGAAGGCTAGATTGTCCAACTTGTAAGCATATTAATGAAAATTATAGGTTAAATTGTCAAGTACACACTGTAATATTATATAATAATCTACCTCTGGGAAAAAATGAGAGGTGCATACTTTAGCATGTATTCTTTAGAGAAGAATATAACTTTGGAAATGTCTTTATCATCACTAAAACTGAAATGTTTGTTCTGTCCTCTAGTACATGATAAAAAGGCATAACACGTTCAGTGTACAGAGATCATGTGAATTAGAATGCAGGCTTTGGCTGGTAACTCTGAAAGTTGGTGTGATCACTGAATTCTCAAAGGGCTACTAGATAGATCTAGAGTGTTTTCTGGATGTGCCAATGTGAACATTCAGAAAGTGACAATGTGCTGTTAAGGCTTCAGGGAAGGCTATGTTGTGTCTGTCTTTTTAATTACCATATGCAAGGAGGTAGTAAGCCGGGTGGTGGTGGCATACATCTTTAATCCCAGCACTTGAGAGGCAGAAGCAGGAGGATTTCTGAGTTTGAGCCCAGCCTGGTCTACAGAGTGAGTTCCAGGACAGCCAGAACTACACAGAGGAAACCCTGTTTCGGAAAAAAAAAAAAGAAAGAAAGAAAGAAAGAAAGAAAGAAAGAAAGAAAGAAAGAAAGAAAGAAAGGAAGAAAGAAAGGAGGTAGTAGCTAGGGCACCAAGCAGCCATAGCCTCAAAGCTTTTAGGAGGGAATAAAAAGCATCTTTTTTTAGACTCTTCTCATTAAATGTTTCTCTGATACACATTTGCCTCTTTCTTTGCTTGTTTGATGCTTTTAAATTATTTCTTTGCTGGGGGACTTATATGGCTTAAACTAATGCAGGTTCCTTTGTTCCTTGAACTATGGTTATTAGGTTGAAGCTCCATGTGTGGAAACTGGGAACATTGGGGGTTTTGAATATACAAAACTATGTACAAGAAAGTATACAAAACTGTACAAGAGGAATGAGAAGGCCTGAATTTATGGATGGAGCAAGTCAATTAGTGTGGTATAGGGAAAAAACATTTTCTCATGTTTCTGCTGAGGTGATGAATTTCTTTTTGGTCACATGCTTCTAGTGGCTATTTGCACGCCTGACGTTTATATAACATGCATCAGAAAGTTAATGTGTCATGCATGTCTGTGAGAGAGAAATAAAATTCCGTGTTGGATCATAGAATATGGATTTGCCTTTATTTTTCTCCCAGAATTCAGGCCATGATCTGTTGTAGTAGTTATTTAAAATCGGCCTCTGGTCCCATAGACTATCTAAGCTGCAGAGGCTCTGCCTAGCCCAGCTGCCATGTTTCTTGCCCTGAGGCCACGTGTGCACTACACCTAGAACTGGCCCACAAGAAACACCAGCCCTGCCACCTACGAGACACCAGCATGAGAGATGGCTCTGCCAATCTTCCACACTGTCTCTGCAAGGTAGGGCACTGCCCAGACCATTCCGCCATCCATGCTGGCCCAGTAAGAGAATGAGACTCTAATTCTTATAGATTAATCAAAGCCTTTGTATGTTTGATAATGATTAATAACAAGACGCCCATACAAAGACAGTTGTATCCCAATTAGCTAACCTAATTATAAGTTTGTAAGTTGTTCCCCATGAGTGCTCTCCATACCTGTGTGGCTCTCCATCCTCCTACATCTCTGTCTTCTCTAGCTCCTCCTCTTCGTTTTTTCTCTTCCTCTTCCAACTCCTCCTCTTACTTTCCTTACTCTTCCCACATTAGCTCCTCCTACAATGATCAAGCTTCTAGCCAAGCAATTAACATCCCTGATTATGAAGATTAGAGAACACAGATTTCAGTGTAAGCAGGAATGGTCAGTGTGGCAGGTGTATAGTAAAGTGTTGAATGTCTGGCTTTCCCTTTGCAACGTTGAAATATAAATATATAATCATATTTAGTATGTATTTCACAAATGCTCCTTGTTGACTATCCTAAATCAGAACAAACTGTGTTGTGTAGTAATTCTTAGCACATCTTGGCTATTCGGAGAAGCAAAATTGACTTGTTTTCTGGGTAATTATATGAGGGTCTCTCTTCATAAGTCCTCATCTATAAGCTTGATATGTCATCTATTTTACTATTCCTTAATTTAATTCTTTCTCTTTAAATGAAGCACCTTGTCTAGGAATTTGAAAAGGAGAAAAGAAGATTTTCCCTCTCTCTCTCTCTCTCTGATTCTCTCCCTACTATATTCCTTCTTTCCCTCTTTTCCACCCCCTCTCTTGTTATTTCCACCTTTCAACTCCACCATATTGTTTACAATATGATTATTTGTATTTCCTAGTTGTATCACAATCCCAAAGTCTGATGATGTTCCTCCATCATGATGTCATAGCTGTTTCTTCCACTAAATGTCTTTATGAAAGATAATGAGCCCATTCTTCCTTCCTCTTTGGGGTAAAGAATTACCTATATGCCGATTCCCTCTTTTTGCTGAGCTGGATAATTTGGAGCCAAACATGAGGTTGGACAGATCCTGGGGACTCATTTCAGGACTTTATGGTACAATGACTGGAACATGCTCTGGGCTTAGTATGCTTTTATGTTTTGAAATTTTTATTGCTATTATGTCAATGAAATTACAATATAAATTGATATTTCATTCTGTGACACATATTTTCTTTAATAGTTTGGTTCAAAAACCAATGTGAAACAATAACTTGAAATAATATATTAATGTGGAGAACTATGTATTTAACAAGTTCAATTTGAACAATTTATACACCTTCTAGGACTACAATTTCTAAGCACTTGCTAATTATGAGCACTGTATTGAGGTAAAACAAAAATATCTTCTATGTTCATTACTTTCAGTAAATGATCTCAGAATGACTAAAAGATATTGGCTAACCTTCATATGTTACAACTAAATGCCCAGCTTTATGACTATAATTCTTAAAGTTATAAGGGCAGTATTACAAAACCAATATTATTCTAAAGTGATATCCACTGGGTCAGGCTAATATAAAAAAAAAGTTTATGATGTAGGCTGCTAAGAACAGCTGTGGCTATTAAAAGAGAACATGTAAATTCCCATGAAATTTAAAAATTCATATAACCTGCCAAGCATGATGACACATACTTGTCATTCCAGCACTTCAAAAGTCAAAGAAAGAAAATCAGGAGTTTGAAGCAGACAACATTTCAAAAATGATTATAAAATCAAAAAAGAAATGATCTCACCTTACAACACCATTTCTCCCCAAATAGTCATCCACACCTAATTTTGTAAAAATAGCATCTTGCTTGCCCTAGAGGTGTTACAGTTAGGGCTGCTGTGTCACATGTCCATTGATAAGTAGAGAGGAAGGAGGCCTATGTTCAGTGTTCCAATACCTATGAATTTCCAAATGATTAGTAGCCTAACATTTACATAAAAAAGTGAGCCCGAAAATATTCTGTCATATCCTGGAGAAATCACTGCACTCAGAGCAGTGGAGGAACCACTACACTCAAAAGACCTCTGCACTCAAAACAGTGGGAAAGAACCTTCCTCCACAGTCCTATACACCAGAGCTGCAGCTGGGAGCCTGGGACACTCAGGACCCATCACACATCCAAACCCCAGCCCTCAGGAATACCATTCCCTTTCTGCCTCTCCCTTAATACCTTTGGCTGGGGCAAACTCTTAGCTTGTCTGCTCCCATGGAGACTCAATATTGTAACCCATCCTAGAGGAATCACTGCACTCAGAGCAGCAGAAATTAAGAATCCTTGAGGCAGCCTTAGTCCCAAGAACATTTCAACTCAGGAGCTCAGGATCACAGGATCACAGAGACAGCTGGACTCTGAGGAGTACTGACACAAGCAAGATAACGGGAAAGACAGGCTCCAGTCAGAGACAGTGAGTGCAAGTAGCACTAGAGATAACCAGATATCAAAAGGCAACCTCAAGAACATAAGCAACAGAAACTAAAGTTACCTGGCATCATCAAAGTCCAGTTCTCCCACCATAGCAAGCCCTGGACACCTCATCACACTGGAAAAGCAGGATTTAGATTTAAAATAACTTCTCATGTTGATGATAGAGGACTTTAAAAAAGACAAAAATAACTCCCTTAAAGAAATACAGGAGAACACAGGGAAACAGGTAGAAGCTGTTAGAGAGCAAACACAAAAATCCCTTAAAGAATTATAAGAAAATACAACTAAACAAGTGAAGGAATTAAACAAAACCATCCAGGATCTAAAAATGGAAGTAGAAACAAAGAAGAAATCTAAAAGGGAGACTATTCTGGAGATAGAAAACCTAGGAAAGATATCAGGAGTCATAGATACAATCATCAACAACAGAATACAAGAGATAATATCATGTGCAGAAGATACCATGAAAGCATTGACACAACTGTCAAAGAAAATGCAAAGAGCTCCTAACCCAAAACACCCAGGAAATCCAGGACAAAATAAGAAGATCAAACCTAAGGATAATAGGTATAGATGAGAGTGAGGATTCCAAACTTAAATGCCCAGGAAATACCTTCAACAAAATTATAGAAGAAAACTTCCTAACCTAAAGAAAGACATGCCTATGAACATACAAGAAGCCTACAGAACACCAAATAGACTAGACCAGAAAAGAAATTCCACCCATCACATAATAATCAAAATATCAAATGTACAAATCAAAGAAAAATATTAAAAGCAGTAATGTAAAATGGTCAAGTAACATATAAAGGCAGACCTATCAGAATTACACCACACTTCTCACTAGAGACTGTAAAAGCCAGAAGATCATGGACTGATGTCCTACATACCCTAAGAGAATACAAATGCCAGCCCAGACTACTATACCCAGCAAAACTCAATCACTATTGATGGAGTAACAAAGATATTCCATGACAAAACCAAATTTACAAAATATCTTCCCACAAATCCAGAACATAAAAAGATAATTGATAGAAAACTCCAAGAGAAGGAGGGAAACTACAACCTAGAAAGAGCAAGAAAGTAATCTTCCAATAAACTGAAAAGTAGCTACACAAATATAATTCCACTTCTAATAAAAAATAACAAGAAGCAACAATCATTTTTTTCCTTAAAGACTCTTAAAATCAATGGACACATTTTCCCAATGAAAAGTAGACTGATACACTGGATACAGAAACAGGACCCAGAATTTTGCTACATACAGGAAATGCATCTGGTGACAAAGACAGACACTACCTCAGAGTAAAAGGCTGTAAAACAATTTTCTAAGTAAATGGTCCCAAGAAACGAGCTGGAGTAGACATTTAATATTGAATAGAACGAACTTTCAACTGAAAGTTATCAAAAAGGAGAAAGACACTTCATACTCGTCAAAGGAAAAATTAACTAAGATGAAATCTCAACTCTGAACATCTATGCTCCAAATATGAGGGCACCCAGTTTCATAAAAAAAAAAAAAAACTTTACTAAAGCTCAAAGTACACATTCCACCTCACAGAATAATAGTGAGTAAACTCAACACCCCACACTCAGCAAGGGAAAGATCATGAAAACAGAAACTAAAAAGAGACACATTGAAATTAACAGAAGTTATGGACCAAGTGGATTTAACAGATATCTATAGAATATTTCATCCTAAAACAAAAGAATATACCATTTTCTCAGCACTGTTTGGTACCTTCTCCGAAATAGACCATAAAATTGGTCATAATATAGGCCTCAACAGATGCAAAAATATTGAAATAATCACATGTCTCCTATAAGATCACCACGGACTAGGACTGGTCTTCAATAATAGCAAAAACAATGGAAAGCCCAGAAACAAGTTGAAATTGAACAATGTTCTACTGAATGATGACATGGTCAAGGAAGAAATTAAAGACTTTTTAGAACTTAAGGAAAATGAAGGCTCGTCATACCAAAACTTATAGGAAACAAGGAAAGCAGTGCTAAAAGGAAAACTCATAATGCTAACAAAAACAAACTGGAGAGAGCATACATTAACAACTTGACAGCACACCTGAAAGCTCCAGAACAAAAAGAAACAAATACAGACAAGAGGACTAGACAGCAGGAAATAATGAAACTCAGGGCTGAAATCAACCAAGTAGAAACAAAAAGAACTATACAAAGTATCAACAAAATCAGGAAGATGTATTTTGAGAAAATCAACAAGATAGATAAACCCTTAGCCAGACTAACCAGAGGGCATAGAGACAGTATCCAAATTAATAAAATCAGAACTGAAAGGGAGACATGAGAACAGAAACTGAGGAAATTCAAAAAATCATCAGTTCCTACTACAAAATCTTATACTCAACAAAACAGGAAAATCTGGATTAAATGGACAATTTTCTAGACAGATACCAGGTAACAAAGTTAAATAAGGAACAAATAAACCATCTAAACAGTCCCATAACCCCTAAGGAAATAGCAGGAGTCATTAAAAGTCTCCCCAACAAAGAAGTTCAGGACCAGATAGTTTTAGGGGAGAATTCTATCAGACCTTCAAAGAAGACTTAACACCAATTCTCTACAAACTATTTCACAAAATACAAACAGAAGGAACACTACTCAATTCATTCTATAATGTCACAATTACAGCCGGGCAGTGGTGGCACATGCCTTTAATCCCAGCACTTGAGAGGCAGAGGCAGGCAGATTTCTGAGTTCGAGGCCACCCTGGTCTACAGAGTGAGTTCCAGGACAGCCAGGGCTACACAGAGAAACCCTGTTTCAGAAAACCAAAAACCAAAAACCAAAAAAAACAAAAAACAAAAACAAAAACAAAAAGCCACAATTACTCTCATACCTAAACCACACAAAAAAATCTTCAGACCAATCTCCCTTATGAATAGCTGTGAAAAAATACTCAATATAATTATTGCAAACCAAATACAAGAACAAATCAAAACAATAATCCATCATGATCAAGTAGGCTTTATCCCAGAAATTCAGGGATGGTTCAATATTCAGAAATCCATCAAGGTAATCCACTACATAAACAAAATCAAAGAAAAAAAACACATGATCTTCTCATTAGATGTTAAGAAAGCATTTGACAAAATTCAACATTCCTTTATGGTAAAAGTCTTGGAAAGAACAGGAATTCAAGGCCCATACCTAAACATAGTGAAAATCAACATAAAGCAAGCCTGTAGCCAACATGAAACTAAATGGAGAGAAACATGAAGCAATCCTACTAAAATCAGGGACTAGACAAGGCTGCTTACTCTCTCCTTACCTATTCAATATAGCACTGGAAGTCCTAGGCAGAGCAATTAGACAACAAAAGGAAGTCAAAGAATACAAATAGGAAAGGAAGAAGGCAAAATATCACTATTTACAGATGATAAGATGGTATACTTAAGTGACCCTAAAACTTCCACCAGAGAACTTTTAAATCTAATAACATCACCAACGTGGCTGGATATAAAATCAACTCAAACAAATCAGTAGCCTTCCGTTACTCAAAGGATAAACAGTCTGAGAAAGAAATTAGTGAAATGACACCATTCACAATAGTCATAAATAATATAAAATTCCTTGGTGTGAATCTAACCAAGCAAGTGAAACATCTGTATGTCAAGACCTTCAAGTATCTGAAGAAAGAAATTACAGATCTCAGGAGATGGAAAGGTCTCCCATGCTCATGGATTGGCAGGATTAAAATAGCAAAAATGACCATCTTATCAAAACTAATTTACAGATTTAAGGCCATTCCCATCAAAATTCCAACTCAATTCTTCATAGAGGCAGTCCCCATAAAAACTCCAATTCAATTCTTCACAGAGATAGAAAGAGCAATTTGCAAATTTATTTGGAATAACAAAATACTCAGGATAGGGAGAACTATTCTCAACAACAAAAGAACTTCTGAGGGAGTCAACATCTCTGACCTCAAGCTGTACTACAGAGCAATAGTGATAAAAACTGCATGGTATTGGTACAAAGACAGGCTGTAAGATCAATGAAATGGAATTGAAGGCCCAGAAATGAACTCATACAACTATGGAAACTTCATCTTTGACAAAGGATCTAAAACTGTCCAGTGGAAAAAAGACAGCATGTTCAACAAATGGTGCTGGTTCAACTGGAAGTCAGCATGAAGAATAATGCAAATTGATCCATTCTTATCTCCTTGTACAAAGCTTAAGTCCAAATGGATAAAGGACCTTGACATAAAACCAGATACACTGAAACTAACAGAAAAGAAGGTGAGGAAGACCCTCGAATACCTAGGCACAGGGGACAAGTTCATGAACAGAACACCAATGACTTATGCTCTAAGATCAAGAATTGACAAATGGGACTTCATAAATTTTTAAAGCTTCTGTAAGGCAAAGACACTGTGAATAGGACAAAACAGCAACCAACAGATCGGGAAAATCTTAGAACCAATAGAGGGCTGATATCCAATATATACAAAGAACTCAAGAAATTATACTCCAGACAACCAAATAACCCTATTAAAAATGAGGTTCAGAGCTAAACAAAGAATTCTCAACTGAGGAAATGAAATGGCCGAGAAGTACCTAAAGAAATGTTCAGTCATCAGGGAAATGAAAATCAAAACAACCCTGAGATTTCATCTCATACCAGTCAGAATGGCTAAGATTAAAAACTCAGGTGATAGTAGATACTGGCAAGGGTGTGGAGAAAGAGGAACACTCCTCCATTGTTGGAGGGACTGCAAGATGGTGCAACCACATTGCAAATCAGTCTGGCGGTTCCTCAGAAAATTGGACATAGCATTACCTGAGGATCCAGCTATATCACTCCTGGGCATATACCCAGAAGATGCTCTAACAGATAGCAAGGACATATCATCCTCTATGCTCATAGCACCCTTATTTATAAGTGCCAGAAGCTGGAAAGAACCCAGATGTCCTTCAACTGAGGAATGGATACAAAAAAATGTGGTACATTTACACAATGGAGTATCACTCAGCTATTAAAAACAATGAATTCGAGAAATTCTTAGGTAAATGGATGGAACTAGAAAATATCATCCTGAGTAAGGTAACCCAGTCACAAAAGAACACAGATGGTATGTACTCACTGATTAGTGGATATTATTTCAAAAGTTCAAAATACCCAAGATACAACTTCCAGACCGCATGAAGATCATGAAGAAGAAAGACCAAAGTGTGGGTGCATTGTTTCTTCATAAAAGGTGTAACAAAATATTCATGCAAGCAAATATGGAGACAAAGTGTGGGACAGAAACTGCAGGAGGGGCTGTCCAGAAGCTGTTCCACCTGGGTATCCATCCAATGTGCAGTCACCAAAGTTAGATTCTGATATGGATGCTAGGAAGTGCATGCTGACAGGAGTCTAATCAAGCTGTCTCCTTAGAGGTCTGCCAGATCATGAAATATATAGAGGTAGACGCTCACAGCTAACCATTGAACTGATCATGGGGTTCCCAATGGAGAAGTGAGAGAGAAGACTTCAGGAGCTGAAAGGGTTTGTGGCCCCACGTGGAGAGCAACAATACCAACCAACCAGAGCTTCCAAGGTCTAAACCACCAGCCTGGGAGCACATAGGGAGGGACCCATGGCTCCAGCTCTATATGTAGGGGAGGATGGCCTTGTAGAGCATAGGTAGGAGAGGAGGTCCCTCATCCGTGAAGGCTGGATGCACCAGTGTGGGGGAATACTAGGCTGGGGAGGTGAGATTTGTTGGGGGGCACATCCTCTTAGAAGCAGGAGGAGGGGGCTGGATAGGGAGTTTCTGGGTGGGGGGGTAATGGGAAAAGGAGATAACTTCTGAAATGTAAATAAAATATCCATCAAAGAAGAAAAAAATGAGCCTGAGACAACCACCGTTCCAGTGCTAGGGTGCTTCTACAGGGAGCTAACCTGAGACAACCATCATTGCAGTGCCAAGCAGGCAAGGATGGGCTCTCAGGATTGGGAAAAAGCAGGAGACGAGAAGAACCTAGCCTCGGAACATGGATCCTGGACAGGGGTGAGCCTAAGATAGAAGAATTTGCAAGGGGCCATTTGGCTTGAGTGAGTCAGAGATGACCAACTATCTGGTTCCATGAGGCCCAGACAGCGAGCTATATTGAGATGATTTTGTGTCTGGTACAATGTGGGCCTCGTGGAACAGACTTTGACTGAGATGACCCCTGCCTGGGACCATAATGTACTCCTGAGATGACTCCAGTCATGCAGAGACCCTGGGCACCATTAAGTAGAAGTAGTAAGTGGTGGAGAAATGTCACACAGAGAGAATCAATAAGATGCACATTCAATGAAAAGAGGCAGAGCTGAAGACTAGAAGGTAGTGATGACACCTGGGACCATGCTGGCACCTGGGATCTGACTCCAGATATGGAGAGACCATGGGCACCACTAAGAGGAAGTAGTAAGTGGTGGAGAAAGGACACACAGAGAGAATCAATAGGATGCACATTCAATGAAAAGAGGCAGAGCTGAAGACTAGAGGGTAGTAAGGAACAGCCTGATGTGAGTAGCTGGTGATGATACCTGGGGCAATGCTGGCACCTGGGATCTTGGACCTGGCCTGTGCTAGAGCGTAGTAAGGAACAGCCTGTTATGAGTAGCTGGTGATGATACCTGGGCAATGCTGGCACCTGGGATCTGGGACCTGGCCAAGTTTCAGTCTATAGCCCTGCAGCAGCAGGGGTCTGTTACCTTAAAAAAAAAACAGGCAGAAATCCATGGTCAGAGTTGCTGCCCCAGGATATGTTGATGTCTGAATGTTGTGCAGAATTGTCCCACACCTCACCTGGGCATCGTGGGATTGCTGGCACTTGAGGCATACGATCAGGAGAGCTGATCCATTCCTAGCCAGCTGTAGTAGTCAGAGGATGTAGAGCTTCACACTGCAGGAGTTAGGGATGAGCTGAACATGTACCCCTAGAAAGTAAGTGTGAGATAGCTGGCCCTACTTCTCATTTTCCATGCTGTGGCATAGGACAGGGTATGAACCCTTCCTCTCCTCTTACCTATCACCGCCTGGGGCATGTAAAACCTCTTCATCTGGGTTCAAGAGAGCATCAGAGCTGGTCCTACACATCACCTGCTGCAGTACTTGGAAGAGCAGGTCCTGTACCTCACCCGAGCAGCACAGAAGAACTGATCTGGATGTGGGGGTTGCAGGTAAACCTGGTCCGAAGGGTCCCAAGTCTGGAAAAGCTGGCTTTTGTAATCTGTATAGTGGCATCAAGTAGGAAGAACTTTTATCCTCATTTACCCTCACCACCAGCCATAGTTGGGAGAGCTGGTCCTAACAGGGTAATGAGAGCAGAAGAGCTGTCCCTGCTTCTCACCCACTGTTGATCAGGCTCTGTATCTCACCTGGGCTGCATAGTAGAGTTCGCGTTAGTTGGGGTGGTTGCAGGTAAGGAGACTCAGAGGGCATGAGCATGGGAAATCTGGCCATATATCTTTTATGCTGGGTGGTGGTACAGATGGAGAGATTCCCTCTTACCATCCTTCATCCCTCACCATCTATGATAGGTGGGCAAGCTGGCACTGATTGGTTAGTGAGAGTTGGAGAACTGCCCATGTCCCTCACCAACTGTAACACTCAGGAGAGCAGGGCCTCCTTTTATTTTGTGTGGTGCTAAGCATTCACTTATAGCGATTTGGAAAGGTAATATATAGGTGTATAGAAGAATAAATTACCTTAAAGTCTATCAACATCTTTGCTAGGCAACAATCTCATCTTTTACTCATGAATGATCATCTTGGGTTAAACACTTGTAGGGGAATAGATAAAAGATAAAACCTCAGCGTGACAGAGAGTGTATAGCTTTGATTCAATAACAAGATAAGACACAGCTAAGTCAGGTTTAGGACTTCCAAGTAGGGTTATTCTAAAGTTTGGTATGCATGTATTCATTATACTGACTTGTCAGTGGATTAAAGCTCCTGAGACAATAAGACTTGGGCAATTAGCACAATGGAATGGGGAAAATACTGGAGAATGTGGATTTGAATCTCAGACCTCAGCTATGTTCTAGCAGTAACTTTTTCGGTAGTGATTTAAACTAAAAAAAATAAAAATAAAAAAATAATAAAACAACCAAAAAATTGACACAAATTAATATAAAACTTACAAGGCCCAAGAGTTCACTGTAAGAAAGATGAAAAAAGTCTATTCTTGCCTTCAAATTTTATTATCAAGGAAGACTTCTAAAGAGTGTGCTTGAAGTATTAAAATAAATTCACATTTTTTTTTTTAGTTCATCAATATAGCAACATTAGGTGAAAAAACTCGGTTAATTCAATATTATGATCTTTAGATTTGTGGTCCTCTGGAATACCACTAGTATGCTGTTTCTGATGTGCAAGTAGTACCAGAGCACATCAACACATAGTGTACTGACCACAATTTGTTTTTCTTTCTATATTATAAGTCATTACATGCGTGAAGAAGACAAGTTTCCCATTATGAAAGTGAGTGAAGAAGTAATGGAAGAAGCAAAAAGAGAAATTTTTACATTTGTGTAGCAATGGAGTTACCATTTAGTAAAGATATAGAGGTAGCTTCCTTGTGACTGTTGCTAAACTTCATAGAAAACACAATAAATGACATACTACTTGCCATGTAAATTAGGAAGCCTGTGTAATATATGGACTTTCTTAAGGGTGTATGTGTAAAAGTGTCAGGATGCAGTTCTGGGTGGAAATTGTAGCCAACTTGATACATATTGCAAGCATTCAAGATCAAGTCCTTCATTTTCACTATGAAATTATGTACTATATAAGCAGTGATGTACTAATTGGGAAGATGTCAGAAATGTGCCAAGCATTAAATATCTACTTCAGTTTAAGAATAAAATTTGACCGAATTCTCAGGTTATCAGGTTTGGACAATTTCCGTTTATTTGTTTCAACCTTGCTTGTTACGGTCTCCAAGGGTGAAGCTTAGGAGATGTTTGATGTTTCAATTTGGGGAAATCTTCAGAATTGTCCATACGTGGAGGATGTGTGCTGGATTTTGCATTACGAAGAGCATTTCTTTTACTAAAACTCTTAGATGTTCTTGCAGCTGTGTTACAAAGACCACCACGCTTATGATGGTCCAATGGAGGATCAGATTTTCCAACAGATAGGAAATGTTTCTCAAGATTTAAGATATAGTCAATTGCTTCTTGCACATTATAAGATGATCCACTTACAATGATGCTAGAATTATTACAAGATCCTTTTGAAGGTACACGGATGTCTACTTGGAATTGTTCCATGATTTTCTGGATGGATTTTCCACCAAATCCAATAATATTGGCACAAACATGGTGGTTCAGTGGGATTTCCTTGGAAACTGTTTTTTCAATCTTAGGCAGCATGTTCATTATTGCATCACGGGCACCGAGGATGTTACTTTTAGAGCCAGAAATGGTAATTTGGTCTTGGATCGAGTTGCTTCCTTTCTTTGAAAAATGGACAGTGACATCATATTCTGTGCAAATTTGGGAAATAAGTATACCTTTATTACCAAAGATCTTGGAATGATATTTGGGATCTAATCTGAATGTTTGCCTGAAATTTCTTAGTGTCTGATCGTCTAGTTCCATTTGTAAGGCTTTTACTTGATTTTGCAATTTCGTCTTGGCTTGTTCCACATTTGCTTCAAGGCCCATAATTGATATGATGTGAAAATTTCCTCCAGGTTGTGATACTTGAATATGAACTTCAAAGTCTTTTATTAGCTTGCGTAATCCACTTCCTTTGTGCCCAATGATGTAAGGATGTAAATGAAAAGGTACTTGAACTTCAGCGGTGACAGGAACAAGATTCTCCAGAGCTTGTGCGGCCTCCTTGCAATTTTCTATTTTGCCTGAAATAGACATGGTGTCACTTTTCTTAGGAGAAGTAGAAGCAATTTTTTTTATATTCTTTCCACCGTTTTCTTTTCCCATTTCCTGAAGCTCTGGACGTGTCTTCCTAGTAGTCTTGTCTGTGTCTGGAAATTTGATTTGAACTTTACAGTCTCTTGAAATCTGTTGAATTCGAGAGCATATAGGTCCCATGATAAAAGGATGGAATTTGGGGGGAACAACACACTGTGCTGTGACTTGAGAACCCAAGGGATCAAATATCCCCTGAATATGTTTCTTTGCTGCTTCCACACAAGGTTTTGCTCCTTTTATTGTAACTTTTGTACTCTGTTTTCCAGCATAAGAAAATGTAATAAATACACCACCATATTCTTTAATTATTTCTCGTAAAAGTTGTCCCCTTTGCATAACAAAGTAATTGTGGTACTTAGGACTTATCAATATGCTGTCCTCCACCACATCCTCCAAATCTTTCAGTAAAACCTCTAAGTCTTTTTGCACATTTTTAACAGCCTCTTCTGTTCCTATGATAGTTACTGATTCTTGATCCTTGGTCTTAAAGGTAGGAAAAATGATTCGTGCCCCTGTCTTCTCACAGATTTTCTGAAGATTGCCACCATTTTTACTCATAAGAAATTGGTGATATTTTGACTTGACAGGAATAGCCACAGAGTAACTTTTGGCTTGCTCCTCTTCTGCGAGTTGTAGAAACTTTTTCTTGGTTTTTTCAACAATTTCTGTGGGGCCACTAATAATGACTTTTTGAGGTCCTTGGATGTTACGTGTAAAATGAATCTGAACTTTGCCACATTCTTCTATGATTGAACCAATCAGAGAGTTTTTAGAATCAGTTAGGGATCTATGTAGACTAGGAGGAATAGGAATTTCCACTTCAGAATCTTTGGCTGCATTTTTAGGTATCGAGAGAATCCAGTTATGACATACCTCGCGATTTTCTGGCTTTCTGATACTGATATTATTTTCTGAGTTGCAACTTGATGATGAAAAATTAATCCTTCTTCTTGAATTTAGGTTGGTAACATGGCTTTCCCTTTGAAAAGACCTATTTGGATATAGAACGTATTGTCTTTTGGAAGTCATTTTTGATTTTCAAGTATGTGCAATTCAGAAGTGTTGAAGATCATTCAGCAGCAGCCCCAAGACTAAAAAACCGCTTATAGTTGTTTTTAAGCACATTACTGTATAGGAAGAAAAGATACTTTAAACATGTAATTTGTTTCAAAAGTAACTCATAGGATGAAGATAATAAAGTGATTATTAGATACATTCATTTTTCTGAGAAAACATTAGTTTTATCTTTTTACCTAACCTTATGCAAACATAATGTAAGTTCAAATTGTAAAGATTGTATGGAAATAACTACTGTATTTTACAGAGAAATTGCATGTTTTAAGTTTTCTTATGTTATTCATAACAATATTAATTTGCTTGAACTCTGATCATTGTTCTTTCGTTCTGTACCACCTATTGTTTCCGTGTTATAATTGCAAAATGTAGTTTTCTAAGTCTCTAAAGATACTTAATTTACCCAGTCCTTGCTATCTTCAGTAACATTATTTAAAAATACATATCTTAGAATATTACACAAAGAGAATATAATAAAATATTTTTATATTTATAAAAATATTCCAATGAAATCCATGATAAATAATTAATACATGCTGAGAAAGGTAGAGAAAAGTCATACATTCCAATTGTGTAATTCTATTTTTTTTTACCTAAGTATGTCTTTTATTTATTTTTTTGATGATACAAAAGATTTTAATTTTACTCATTAAAGACAAGTATAAAAAAAGAAGCAAAGATCTGTACAGCATTTACAACTGATCATGGCCCATAACTTGAATCACAGTTATATCACCAACTGGCTTATAGGAATTACATAAAAGTATGATTATATGGTCTGCTCAATGGGTAAACCTCAGTTTCTTTTTGAGTACCCTTTTGAGATCTAAACATATTAAGACATAATACTATATTTTTATTTTAAATCTCAAAAACACTCCATTTCTCTTTATAGCATACTCAAAGACTTTTCTGACTCAATATCCTTCTTATAACTTTAGATATCACTAAAATGACCACTAATCACTCTTCAAATATAAAATGCTATCTCCGAGTTTCAATAATTATATAACAATAATCCATCTAATTATCACCAAGTGAATACCTCAGAGTCCTTTGAAAATTTATATAATTTCAACATTTAATATTCAGATTCTATTGTTGGAACTGTATTAGAATTTTATAAGTGCCAACTACTTTTCCTAAAATTTGCCAAGTACTAAATGTCATATTTTAATTTTATATTTTCTCATGTAGCACATGAAAAGTACAAGAATACCTGTTAGTTTAAGTCTAATATTTCTGTATGCTTTTTAACTCATTAAATATAATTCCTAAATAACTTTTTGTACTTACATTTACTATGTTAATTATAAGTAGCAAAATGAAAATATAGAGTAATATTTACAACTTACTAAGTCCTGCTACTCAAACTCTATCATGTATGGATATCACATATGGATATAGATAGATATAAAGATAGATAATTTTCCTTTTTACCACTGTATATACATCATTTCCTCTCCTTCTTCTTATTCCAGTTCATCTCAAGCCCCTATTCCCTTTCAAATTCATGACCTCTTCTTTAGTTATTATTGTTTATTGTTGTTATGCATATATGTACATATGTACATATTCACATATATACATCTGCACCCATGAACATATCATATATATGAAGAATATATATATATTGAGAAAGAGAGGGAGAGAGAAAGAGAGAGATCTGCGTCCTTTCAGTATTGCTTCTTTTAGCATTTATGTGCATTGAGGTTTCCACTATTGCATATATATGATAATATTCTCTAACATTTCAAAGTATATTCACATCTTAACTATAACACTGTGTCTTAACAGAGCTCATCACTGGATGAGAAGTCTGCATAAACTTTTCATTATATCATTTATTCTTTTCTTTATCATTTCTGCTATTATTTTCAAGTGAAAATTCAACTCTTTATTCTACTCTCAATTTCTCCTGCCAGACATCTTTATGTCAAACATGTGAAACATTTGTCTTCTAGATGCTTATATCAAAAATAGTGTTACCATTAAGAAAATATTCAGAATGCTACATTCATTTTTTCATAGTAACAAAGACTATGTGAAGAAAAAATTAACATGTCAGTAGGAGACATCAATAATCAAATTATTGAGTAAAAGGGTTTATAGATGTAATAGCATGACATTTCTACACATATTTAAAATTACATTGAAATATTAAACAAGGTTAGATATTGCTTATATTTGTTTCATATATTTTTACATATATATTGTAAAACTTTATATATGTTGAAGGAAACATTAAATCAATATTTTTGGAATAAGACAAATATGTGATTTTTTTTAATATACTAGTTTGTAAAAATATTGTTGGATTTTTCTGATATAATTTTAAAGAAGCAAATACAAACATAAAATTATCATATTTTTTGCATTTTCTAATATGTAACTATACACTTACATATAAACACAATATATGTGTGAATGTGTGTGTATATGTGGGCAAGACATTAATAATCAAAATATTCAGTAAAAATGTTCATAATTTTAGAGCAGAATATCATATCTACTTATAGTTAAAAATCACATTTATGTACTAAAGATTATACATTGTTAATATTTCATGATAGTGTTCAAACACAGGTATATATATATAATATATATAACAAGACTTACCTAGTTATAGATGATGCTCCTTACAAATTTTCTCACCTGTATCTTATTTCCTTTATGAACGGTTTTTGAGACTCTGTATGCAAGGAGAGAACCTGAGGTAAAGGTCATATGACTCCGACTTACACAACAACACTTATTCTTATATTTGAAAACTCCCTTTTTCCTTTTATTGAAAGTAGATCATTTTCATACAGTATATTGTTTTTACAGTTTGCATCCTTCTACTACTCCCAATTTCATCCAAGCTCCCCTCCCATAAGAAAATTTTATCATATGAAGTTTTTCTGTTTATTGTGATTGTTGTAGTTTCATATTAAAATGTTATGTGCATTGGTGTTTCTAATATATATAATGTGACTGCAGTCTCCATGTTGGTCATAAGAGGATTTTGGGACCTTGATCTGGAATTATAGATTTTTTTTATCCATCCTATGGATGCTGGAAATTGAACTCAAGTCTTCTACAAGAACTACAAGTGTTTTTAATCCCAAAAGCTTCTCTCTATCCCTTAAAGATTGTACTAGCCAAAAGATTCTCCAGACATCAGCAGAAATGAGCCTTTCTTAATCTCTCATATAAACTTATAATCCTGTTTTTCAACAGTTCTGTGTAGATTTTACATGCTATCTAACTTTATAAAACTATCCAGATTACAAATTACAACCTTCATTTGTTAAGTTACAATTAATAGTATTGCTTAACACATGCATGTCTTTTTAGATATATAAGGTCATATTTGTAAAATATGCCATTGTGTACATGAAATTATTTGAAACCTCTTCTGACATGTAATTGAAGAACACTTCATCTCCCATCAGCTGTTTTTTAATGTGTTTGATCCCAAATACCACTAAAAAAATCTACATTGCAGGATGTCCAGGCTCTTATTGAAGCACTGTTTTCTGTTTTTTTTTTTTTTTTTTTTTTTTTTTTTTTTTTCCAAAAGGGTTTTTTTGTGTGCGTGGGGGGGTCCGGGAAACAACCCAGACCAGAAAGCTGGCCACGAAAAAAGAAAAACAACAGCCACAGCCACCCAATT